GGCTATGTGGATTCATCATAGCTAGCTCTTTTTTGAAATATGTCAGTTTTTGCTTCTTTCTCCTTGTCATACACGTAACTAAACTGTTCACTGGTTACTCGATGGTTGCCACCTGTGTAATGAGACGGCACATATTTCAAAGGGTAAACATGATGCATGCTTGTGTATTAGTCGGATGAGGAAATGGTTCACACAAGACGGTCAAAGTCAATCCGGTTACGCGGATCTGTGGGGACACAATGTACGAAGCGAACACCCATGCGCGTAAACAGTGAGGGGCGGGACAAAAATTCACGAACATATACACAATGAGAGAACATGTTTTTCAGCAAACGTTCGCGGAACCGTAAAGTTCAGTGATTGTGTGTCATCGAAATTGCACATGTTGCGAAACCCGCTAAATGCACGTTATCATTTGAACGAACTATCGTTCGGCAACCATTAAACTTTAATAGTGACTGTTATAGCCTAAGTGGTCAGCATACAGATTTCAGAGGTGGTCAATTTATAGAGGTCTAGTTCCATGGGGTCTGAATGATGAAACCTTCAAGCTATGCAAAAGCAGTCGGCTTAAAGTGGTGGTCAACTTTGGAATTTTTACTACAATTGGAAACGCTTTACGCACATACGCTTTACGCACATAGTTCGGACAGGCTAGGGCCTTATAGCAAATTGTTGTCACTCTTCCATGTTTTCAGCGTTTTGAGACGGCGGCGCCCACTGTTGTCTTTCTACACAACTTTGCAGTTTGCGAAGTTATGGAAACTGGATTTATAACGTATATTGCTCTTGGGTAATCAACTCAGTGAGTGCTCCGACGACATTTCCGTAATCTATTTCAGTTTACAGATCCACAAAGCAGCACCTGCTGTCAATAGTTTCCGGCTGTATTTTACGCCCTCAGAATTGTCAGGGACCTGCCATTGTGCTGACCCCTTGTGGGTGTCATATAGAAGTCGTTGCGAAATTAAACTATTTGGGCAGCTGTATCAGCGTCTGTAAAATAGTGGATAAATTCACAACTTGTATAACAAATGCTCGAGGCACTTGTGCTTATAGCGCTGGCATGACATCACCTCCACCATAAAGGTATCAGCAGTACCGGCGCTTCGCTGCCACGCAAACCAACGGTCGCGCGTGGGCTAAGACTACTGCGAGGCTCGCCCGGTCCCCTACACAGGCTTGAGCCCACATCTTCAGATTACAAAGTAGGCTTGTTATCTTTCAGGCCACGGGTCGGGCACCTCCACCATTAGGGTTAAAGAAAGATAGAAAGGTCATCAGCAGTACGCCGACGCTTCGCTGCCACGCGACTACCACCGGTCACGTATGGGTCGAATATATCGCGGGACGCGCGACCCTAAGTGGATTCGAACCGGTGACCTACGAATTGCAACCCAGGCGTGCAATCCTTTTGGCCGCCGGCCGTTCAACTCTACTATACGTTTGTGGATGCTGGAGCATCAAATCGGTTGGCGTAAAGAGGGTAGTTGTCTCAAACCACCAGTGCCTTTGAAATTTACCTCACATCTGGTGGTGGGGATACCACGTAACCGATGAGCGTGCTCTCCGCTTTCCTTTTGGTGCCAGGAAGACAAAGTGAACCGCTCGGCATCATTATCTCACTCACTAGGATCGGATGGCTGGTCCATGTATTACGCAGGCCATTGACCCGACTTCCACGACATGCATTGTTTACGCGACCGTCTCTGGATGGAAGATTAGGAGTAGAGGTCAACCGATGACTTAGTCAAAATGGGTACAGACTGTCGTCTCGGCTTAGCCTTAGTTGGTTGTTCTCGACTACCTGGTTGGAATGCAAAAGTTGATAGAAACGTCTGGTTGAAGACACGTGTCTATATTACCAAAAGCTGACCTCAACGACGTTCATGTTGTGAGCTTCTTTCCAACCACGGTCTCATTGTTATCATAATAAAGCGTACTATGTTTTTTCTTGGTCATCTAATTGCGTTGTTTTGTAGTACGGTATCTAAGGTGTTTTTACCTCTAGCTAACGTGTCGAATGATGGGCCTGATGCTTTTGGTTCAAAATCAATAATGGGCCAGCCTTAGGCTGCCCCCACATAGAGACAAAACTTCCTTTTTAACTTTGTATGTTTGGTTGCATGTTGGGAGTTGTCACTAACAGAACTTACAAGACGTTGTGATATGCATGCATCTTCTAACTTAACTTTTTCACTGTGCTTTTAAACTGTGTCCACTTTAAGACTGTAGAAAGATAAGTATTCTCTCTCTATCAACTGCGGCTTACGTTGTGCTCTACAGTGACCGAATTCACGATTGCATAGCAATTATCACTAATAGCTGGTTTTTGGAATCCCTTGGCCATCACAGTCTAATTGTTTCACTGAATCATGCATTCAAGCAAATTACATCATGCCGAAGTTCTGTCTCTTCACCCAACCCAATCAACGGCTTTCTTTTCTCCTCATTCTGTGTCGTGTTACGCAGGACCAAAACACTGCCAGACAGTTTGCAAATGACACGGCTGCAATGTACGAGCGGGCTATTGCACTCCTGCGAACGAACATGATGCTCTACTTCGCCTATGCTGACTACGAGGAGGGCCGATGCAAATACGCCAAAGTGCATTCCATATACAAGAAGCTAATATCTCTGGAGAATATCGATCCGACTTTGGTTAGCTTTTATGGCCACCTGCTTCCTTGATCATTTCGTTTTCACTTGCTTTTTGCTTGTCTCTTACATCGTCCTGCGCTCCATGTAATCCACCATTCCTAGTGCACCCATTCTACCAGCCTCATTTTCCCGTTTATGCCACTGAGCCATCATTTGTAGCCGTTTCAGTTACCAAACGTGTTTGGGGTCTATACTTTCGTTTAATCCAACATTTCTCAAGTGACCTTCCATGGATAGTGCGACACCATACAGGAAACGATATCAGCGCACAGTAGTTGGGCAACACCTTACTGTATGCCGGCGGGACTGTTGACATCCATCACCGTTCAGTGGGTCAGATGGATGACTACATTACTGCATTTTGTTCCACTCGTTTTCCTGCTCACGGCTAATTTTGCAATCCATGAACACTACCTAGTTACCTTTAACCTATAGTCATGTGTTGTACCATCTGGAAGCACGGTCTGGACGTTGTAGTACGGAAATGCTTTAGTCATAAAGACCGCTAGTGATGTCATTCCGTAAGTACAGAGTGACTATCTCCTACATTGCTTGGTCGGCCAGTTCGACGTCTTCTCAACTATGCGAGACTTGGAGTGGAGGGGCAACCGGTCTGTGCCGAAGTTGTTCGGGAACACATTGAGATTTCTACCTGTTTTTCTCTTACTTGGGGTTATAACGTCTTTTTCTGCTCAGTTAAAGGAATTCCTTTTATTCTAATCCCTTCTACTTTCTACCGCTAATTGTTTAAGCGGTGTTAGGGAACGTGTCTCACTCTCATGCAATCCCTTTTCCAGCCCTACATTCAGTACATGCGATTTGCGCGACGCGCAGAGGGTATTTTATCTGCCAGACATGTTTTCAAATTGGCTCGCGACGACAGCCGGATCAGTTATCACGTTTATTGTGCTGCGGCGTTTATGGAGTACTTCTGCAGTAAGGCAAGTCGTTTTGAAATGTAATGCGAACTTCCTCAATCCCTACCCCCTTTGTTTTGTTACCGATCTAACACTTCTACGCTAAACTCGAGTCCATCTATCATAATCTACTGTAGTTAGACAGTATCCATCTTGTGACCGCCATTATCTCCTGCATCACTTTACTTTTCACAGTTCATCGCACACAACCTTCGACACTATCCGCTACTTGCGTCTTGAAACCAGACGATTTCACCGCCTGCAGTTACTAGTACAACTAAGCTAGAATAGTTTTGTATTCTGTACTGCCCTTGAATCCGCTTACATTTCACTCATTCCTGTACACTGCATGAAGTTTTCCATCGCTGTGGGACTCTCATCAACCGTATCCAATAACATCCATCTGCTTACATACTTACATGTGGATCACAATTCCCCGGTGGCAGTATGCTTTGACAGACAAATCAATTCTCCTAGTACTCCGGTGGTGGAATTGCAATGAAGAACCTAGTTTCCGTGGACTTCCCTTGAGCTTATGCAAACGCAATAAACTAACTAATTATGCGCATAATTAAATTTACATGACTTGTTCGGAATGTGAATGCTGACATCAGTCACTCTTTTTGCAAAAGATTTCATCGTTATCAAATAACTTCGCCAACCTGACTTTGTTGTGTTCCTGTTGTTTCCAAGTAGCTAATTATCTGGTACCGTACTCTTTCTCCCTTACACATTTGACGTTTTACTCGGCCTGCGTCACATTGCTTCGTAGTCTGCTTATTCACCGCATTTTCGATATGCTCGCATGTTGGAAGTTGTACGCAATTAAGCTTATCTACACAACTATTTTGTCATATTTTTACGTCATACTTTTAACGTTAGATGTTGTTTTTCAACACTTATGCCTTATTTCACTAGTGATTTATGGCCACATCATTAAGCTACTTTCATTTGCCTGACTTCATCCCTATTTAACTCAAGCGTTTTTGTAGTCCGTAATGTTTCGTATTGCGACACTATCTAATGGATGTTTCTCACTCTCAGTTAACGTGTATTGATGGCGATAATGTTGCATTCATTTCAACTCTTTTCATTTGTTCACGGACGTTTGCGATTTCTTCCATAGAGAGTTGAGCTCTACCGACACTTTCAACTTCTGAACTTTCCTTCTATTCTGCTTTGTTCGTCACGACGAAATCACACTGCAGCAAGGTCTTCAGTCTGCGCTTTGTTGGACTAAAACTCCCATCTGGGATGCTAATCACTCATGGCTCGATAAATCCAGACTTGTTGGCGTGACAACAGTTTCATTACTTTTTCAGCCCGCTTCCATCGGATTTACTGCTTTTTATCCTGATTGTGTGCAAAGTAGCCCGATTAGAGATCCTCAATCACCGTCGCTACAGTTGGCTCTAAAACATACTACTCACTGACCACTAGTAGTATAGCTAATAACAAACGATGTGCCACATTACGTTAAATCGTCCCATTCGTCGTGCATGACCATCATTTTAATTGAAGGTCTTTCTCATTCATACTACAACCACGGCGCTATATCACATCTAGTAACTTATTCACGATGGTCGTTGTCGTCCCCCGTAGCTCAGTGGTCTCAACCACGGACTGGCAACAGTCGAGTTGCGGGTTCGAGCCCTACCAGGGGTCCGATGGAATGCGCACTGCTGCTGATTCCCAAAAGGATGAAACGCGCGTACAGTGCCTTTCCGGGCGTGTGGCGGTTGTCTGAGTGAATCTAGATGTGACATCTTTTTGCCTATACCATGCAACTCCCCCTACAACTCTTCTGTAATCAGTACGCAGACCAAACTGCTTATAATGCCATAAGTTACTTGGCGGCTTAAGTTTGGTAAACTCGTCGCTTGGTGAGGGGGCTACCCTGTCCTTTGCACGACAGTAACGTGTAAGTCAGTAGATAGTGAGTGGCGCTATATCACATCTAGTAACTTATTCACGATGGTCGTTGCCGTCCCCTGTATCTCAGTAATCTAAACCACGGACTGGCAACAGTCGAGTTGCGGGTTTGAGCCCTACCAGGGTCCGATAGAATGCGCACTCCTGACGATTCCTGAAAGGATGAAACGCGCGTACAGTGCTTTTCCGGGCGTGTGGCGACTGTCTGAGTGAGTCTAGATTTGACGAATTTCTACCTATACCATTCCAATCCCCCTACTACTCTTCTGAAATCCAGACTTGTTGACGTGACAACTGTTTCATTACTTTTTCAGCCCGCTTCCATCGGATTTACTGCTTTTTGTCCTGATTGTGTGCAAAGTAGCCCGATTAGAGATCCGCAATCACCGTCGCTACAGTTGGCTCTAAAACATACTACTCACTGACCACTAGTAGTATAGATAATAACAAACAATGTGTCACATTACGTTAAATCGTCCCATTCGTCGTGCATGACCATCATTTTAATTGAAGGTCTTTCCAATTCATACTACAACTACAAGAATAAACTTTGTAGTTCCTTAGTTATTTATAAGCTTATCATTTTTGTCTGACGTTTGCAACAGACACACATGCATTTGTTGTCCGCCTTATTGACATTTACCATTATTTTTCAACGATTCGTATACATCAGTATGGTGCTTACGGTTCGCGCCACTTAACTCGTGTCCTTTGTAACGATGTCATCTCTCAATTCTTGAGAATCATCAATTTCGGTTTTTTCTATGAGCAGCTTACTAAGGGCATGTTCCTGCTCGTTTGGAACGGTAATTTACACTTTCAGATGTCCTCTACTTGTTGCAGATATGCAGTTGTCTCATCAACGCGCATTGACGCAAAATTAGTCCTTTGAATGGACTAACCAAAATCGATGAGTTTTATTTCCCAACGCGTCTTTCTGTGTGAGAAATGGCGTTGCCTACTCACCGGATGAAACTGTTGTGGTCGGGGATGTACACACTATGCCTGCTCCATTCGCTCTGAGATACTTTTGTATTCTATGAGCAGAAGTATCGTAGTCCTCATCTCAAACCAGCCCTGAGCGCAAACCGAAAGAATCAGTGGTTATTTTCTGCCCTTTCATTATTTGCCTCACAGTTGCCTTTGTTACTGCATTAGTTTATTCTCAATGACCTAACCTTGCAGTTTGAACCAGAGTTCATCAAGCATTACAGACCAGCGAGCTTTAAACGTACTGAAAGTTTCGGGTCACAAATCTATCGCTTATTCATGACGATGCGAGTGAAACCATCATATTTGCCATAAACTAACATGCACAGTTCTTTCGAGCATGCACCAATGCTTACCTGAACTGACGTTATTGAGACAGTAGCAATTCGTTAAGGCAACGGTATTTTTGCGCGAATTCACTGCATAAGCTATCTGTCTGCTCACTCTCGCTCAGTAAATCCCACAATGATACCACGCTTGTGTCTGCTGTACCGGTCACAAATCTGTGCCACCTAATCTACCTCTGTATACCTTTTTGCCTTTGACAAAAGGTTCTGTCTAGTGACCATCTGATAAAGTGTTCTTATGATATGATTCTTTTAACATGGGACCCAATCTTTGTACGAGCGAATCTAGATAACATGCTGCAGGACGCTGCACGTCCTCGCATGCGATACACTTTCCAGTACCACTAGAACACTGAACGATCGTAGAATTTGGTAGATTGCTTCACTTATTTTGATAGTCGTATCACTATATTTTGCGTTTCCAAAGGAGTTACTGTAACTTTTTGAGGTTTCGGACCTCCAGTCACTTGTGGAGACTGCGAAATATCAGTCTATGTTTCCTGGGTAGCGTGTACAACGCCGCGGTCCCTCAAGTGTTGATGTTTGATCGGATATGTGGCCGCATCATGCTGAATACATTCGGTGACCATTAATGCTCAAGTTTGATGTAAGAACAGAATGAGTAGTGCTTGACGCATGTCGGTCTGTGTTTGGTGCCGAGTCACCTGTTGAATTCGGGCCACCCACACTGGCTGGCTAGGTTATGCCTTTCACGTGTTTGTTAATCGAATGCCTCTGTTGTAAACAGTTGGATTAACTCCAAGATGTCTAGTAGATAAAGGGAAAACACTTACCGCAGGACAGTTATGCTGGTACGTTCCGCCCTCCTCGATGGTGGTCCCTGGATCGGCCACACCAAATGGTCAGATCTCATCTCCGATACCACGAAGTCACGAAGCCATTTCGTTCATCCACTTCCTTTTAACTCTTAGCCACTACATCTGCGTATTTTGGTGTTTTTCATTTATTTCTTTTTGTCGATCTATTTTCTTAACTGCTATTTTTTATCAGGATGTGGATGAAGCTAAATAAAGCCATCACACCGTTGCCCTTGTGCCACGGCCAATGAACTCTACCAATGTGTATTTAGGTATTATTAATCTCCTCATCTGTTCCATCACGTTAGGTCTTGCGTTTGCACCTTGCTGAGCAGTTGGCTAATTACTGACTGGGTTACCACTTTTCTCTTTCTTTTGCAGGATAAAGACATTGGGCACAAAATTTTTGAATTGGGCATGAAACGATTCGGTGGGAGTGCGGACTACATCTTATGCTATGTGGATTTCATGACGCACCTAAATGAGGATAACAACATTCGTGTCCTATTCGAGCGAGCCGTCGGTTCGAATCAAATTCCTTCGGATCGCACTCGTCTTATTTGGGCCCGATTCTTACAGTTTGAATCTCAGGTTTGTCTGCTCTCCAGACTTGTCTTGCTGAATCGCGGCAAAATAGCTGAGGTGTTTTCCATCTAGCTACCGTGTATAGTGATAGCGAGTGTATTTTGCTGAAACCAATGTTCCATCTCGCGCCTATTCGCTGGGCTCATTTGGAGACTTCATGCTCTGTAATTGCGTACTGAGTCCGGCAACCGAGTTGCTCAGGTTTCCTGGCATGGGATCCTCGGGACTCGCTATATCACTTGTTAAACACACTATCGTCTATGGCTCGATCACATTGTCACTGGTTCTCTTGCATTTGTTCCTTCACTCCAAACTGCTACCTTTCAAGATTTTGAGCTTCCTTCCTTCATTTTGAATTATTTTTGTTTGTTTTTTGTCTTGATCAGCCGCACCTCGGTGTATGGATCGCAGTTGATTAACTGTACTGAACTGAGATCTGCAAAGTTTCGACTTTTTTGCACACTTGTCCTATACCTATTAAGTCACATAACTCCGCACCGATACCCTCATTCTTTTTTCATTGATAATACATTCACATTTATGTTCATAGACTCTTGTGACGGTTTTCTGTCCCATCAATCTGACATCATCACGCTTTTCATCATAGTACAGGTTGTCTGTGTATTGTTTTACACAAATGTCAGTTCATGGGTTTACTGGAAGCGAGGTATTTCTCGATACTTCCTCTATCTCTTTGCTCTTTAGTCCCACCTTTTTTATTGCCCTGTCTCTGCTTGTCCTCAGATGCAGTCAGCTTTATAAACAATGTTTCTCGGTTGACGCCTATTTTCTCTACCCTCCTTATCATCGTTCCTTTTCTCCATGTGTAGGTAGGGGATTTGGCCAGCATCCTGAAAGTGGAAAAGCGTCGTTTACAAGCTTTGGAATCCATCAAGGAAGTTTCGAGATTAGAGAGTGCCCTCCTTATTGACCGCTACCGTTTCTTAGATCTACTTCCTTGTTCCGATTCAGAACTCAAGTCGCTGGGCTATCGGGTAAGCATGTTTCAACGGTATTTTCAGACTGCACCCGTGATCTTATCTGCTTGTTCTGCTTCTAAATTCCCACACCAGACACACTCATCTACGCAATTTCTCGACTTGGTCACTTCTTAATTTTAGCCGAGATCCTACCAGTCCGTTCTTACTGTGCGACGTTTTGTATTAGACTTCCCAATGTATTTCATTTTTCGCTCCCTGGCACCCGTGAACACAGTCACAGCAATCTCCTGCACCTGCATACGTAGAACCATCGAATAATCTTCCTTGTCCTCGGCCTCGAAAAATCTGTCTGGTGTGTCTTTCGGTCGACTGGAGAGTGATAGTAGCTTCCCATAATTACTCTGTATGCCATCATAACTGTGCACTCAATCATGCAGTATGTGCAAAATACATATACACATATATCATTACGGGATTTGCTGCATCCTGTTGGAAATGGGAGAAAAGCAAGTCCCAACAACTCCGCCAAGGTATCCAGCCATAGTTCTTTATGACTTTTGAACCTTTAGAGTTAAAACGTTCACTGCACTGTGTTATTGTTGTTTAGCTCCACACTCCGTTACTACAATTCGCATCTTACCACCGCTCCAAGTCGGCATCGGGGTTGAATTGGTTACTAAATTATTGTGCAGAGTGCTCTATCGACTACAACTTCGATGGACATCATCCACTTCCTTGATAGAATCCACTCATGCAGTCGGAGCAGTTACCTTGAAACAACAATGGTGCTCTTGTTGCGACTTTTCTCCTATGGCTATGGAGATACCCAAGGAAGATGATCAGAATAGCTACCCATTGGGCACAAACTAGGCATTCAGGTGCAATCTCGACTTTGGCTCAGAGCAACACTCGCACCACCAGTTTATGGTCTTGGCCTTCCGACGGTCAGTCGGTACTTCGAGAGGTAGGGTTGCTAACTGACTGTCTCAGTCCGTCGCCTGCATTGGGGTTACTTCATACGTAGGAGAAATTCTCTTTCGCTTCCAGCTCCTAATCAACACTTCGTGGGCTGCTTATTCACACCTAATTAGCATCCGGGTTCATTTGATTCTGGTTCAATGGCATGACGGACATTGATTCACTTGGACCATACTTTAGTGTACACTGTTTAGCGTTTTCCTATGGAAGCCGATTCTGATGGCTCGCATACATTTTCTCAACCTGCGGTTATCCTCCGATGGTAATTCTGGTCACTATGCTCGATTCACGTCTACTTACTTTTAATACTTACTCACGGCTTCAAGTCACATACGTGTCTCTGTTACTGATACATGTAACTGGAACTAATCCATTATGGGTTCAAAAAGTATGAAAGGATTGTCATCGGGGCGTCCATCAAAACCTCCACACATTCATCCTAAGGCAATTGACTCGCCTCATTACGTAGGCAACACTGGTCAGCCCATCGTAATCGAGTCGCAACAGAGTAGAACAATCCAGTGCGCCTTATGCCTTGAAACATCGAGCTACTTCTGTATAGTTGGTCTCCACTTGTCTCTGGAGCAAGCGCTTCAAGGATTACTTGTCCATGGTGATCACTCATATAGTTTTCTCTGGATCAGGACTGTGTACATTGCTGCTACATTGGAAGTGATTATTTCTCGTTATTTGGCTTTTTATCCATTACTTGTGCATAGAGAGGGGTTTATCTCAATTAAAGGCGCTTCGTCGTAGTTGGCTCTCAACCAGACAGCATTTCACGCATCCGGAAAAGGGCTCATTTCCCTTTATTGGGACTCCTCAGCAGGGTGCATGTGGGCTCCACCAGAGACCGAATGCATGACTTCCTGATACCAACGGCCTACACTACCATACCATGCGTGATGACGCTCGGCCGTCGTCACAGTTAGATGTCGGTCACGACGGTCACCCGCTGTCACCCATAGCCGTCGCATAAGCTGCCGGCGTCGGCTGGTCATGAGTTCGAATCATTGTGGGACCAGGGGGCGCACACTACTGGTGAGGCCCAGTAGGACGCTTTTCCGAACGCATGGGAGCCTGTGTGCTTAGGAACTGACTGGCAAATCGTCTCTAAATTTTCTTTTACTCTTGTTCATTAAGCTCACCGTTATTTTCGACATTGATTTTCAAACTTTTCAATAATCAGTGTCCATGGTTGTTATAACATGTAATGCGTAATCGGATCACACTAACTGCTCTACGTCCTGAATCTTTCTCTCGCAGGAACTGGCTCGTTTTCAACTTGCAGGATCCGCTCGCGGGTACGATGAGCTTTTCGGTGGTTTGATGGGAGGGCACGGCTCTGTACCTTCTGCACTGACCGCAGGCGTTGGCATTGGAGGTGGACTGGGCGACGGATCCGGTTCATCTGGCGACAAACGCCCATCATATCCCCAGCCTGACGTCAGTCAAATGCTTCCTTTTAAGCCCAAGGCCTATCCCAGAACTGGAAGTCACCCGGTCGCCGGAGGCGAGTTTCCACCGCCCCCCACTGCGTCCGCTCTGATTCGGCTCTTACCACCCCCAGAATGCTTCCATGGTCCGTTTGTCGAAGTGGACAAGTTCCTGGAGCACTTCCTAGAACTTGATATTCCCGAAGGTACGTTTCTACTCTGAAACTACCGCCTCTACTGGCTCTGTATGTCTGACACCGCAAGATTCCTTTTTTGAAATTGCGACTTTGTTTACGAGCGTCGCGAATCCGTTTCCCTGTCAACAACCCCACTTCGTCCCCGCAGATTAAAATGTATCCTGGCGTCGGATCCCGCTTACATTATATTACATTACCAAGCTATGGTATATGAACGTTTCATCGGCACCACTTTATATCGGCAGGGGTTAACTTGTCCTACCGTGCCGGATGGATGAAGCGTATTATCGACTTAACTTTGGTTCCTTCTCAGCGTGCTATTTGCTGAGCCAACAGCTCCTCTCATGTCCGATCATAGGGCCAAGGAAGAGGTTATGAGCTATGACCTCAACAACCGGTCATGGGGTCTCCTCAAACAATTGACCCACGTCTTCGAACGTATCTCAAAAAAGAGAGCTTCCCGATCAACTGAGGGGGGTCACTCATAGTGACAATGCAGTAGAAGGAAGTTAGCGCCATTTAAAGCTGAATTTAGGGAGCACGCTGTGTGGTTGGGTTGCGACTCGCAACCTCTATTGAGACCTCGGTTCACTTTGAGGTAAACCTTGGTCATTCCGACCTCGAGGACCCTATCCTGAATAGAAATATCTGGGTGTTGCTCTTCCCAACACTGGCACTGGTATGCCGGTAGGTGCCAAAGCTGCGCCGCATTTACCGCACGCGGAATGTAGCCGTGTTTTTAGATTTCATATGCGCGCTGAACTCAGTTAATCGCTCTGTCCTTATCGGTGTACTTGTTCGGCAAGTTGTTACCATGGGATGTCAACATTTTACTTGCTCTGCGTAGAGTGTCACACCAATCTGCGGCGAGTTATCGAACGTTTTTCCGACAGACAGTCGCATTCATCAGGGTTGGCCCATTTGTGATGCCGATTTTTCTCTCTCTCTGTGTGTGTGGGGGACAATGAATACCGCAGGGGGCTCTCACCGATACCACTTTATATTTTCACAATAGCCATTCATTCATAACCGTTGTGTTAGCATGCACTAGGCACCATGACCATTTAGATTTTAAACTGGGCCTCTTTTCTCTTCGTCCCATTAAGTGTCATTATTGATACCCTCGTAGGTGTATAGCATCGAAGCGTCAATTCTAATCACTGGAACACTACTGCTAACAGTGATGATGAATTTCATCCGAGTAACCTTTCCGAACTCATTCCGCGCGTGCATTCGAATACGTTTCGTGTTGAACCTAGACTTACTGTAGGTGGAATTGCAATTATCAGTATTCGTCCAGAATAAGGACGATGCCGTTGCTATCCTCGAGAACTATTTTAACATCGTGTTGATGTTGTGGTTCCTGCTTTCTGGACGGGCAACACGGTCGTCTGATGGTCGTGTAACACCATCTGCATCTCGTAAGTCTGCACAGTGGCTCGATTCACATGCCCTGCGCCGTTAACGACTTGTCGCAGCAAACATTTCCAGATCAATCGGACGTACTAATTCTGTCGTCGGCGACTTCCTTTCGGAGACATTCTTCACTTCACTGCGCTCGATGCTTTTGACCGTACTAGACTTGCACCAACCGACCCTCACGGAAATACGCGCTACTGTATACCACAAGTGTACGCGATTTCCTCAACAAAATTATGTTTGCTTTCATAATACCATAAAACACATATTCATACACGTAACTAATCCGCTCTCGGGAACTGTTCGTACGATTGTCAATCCTAATCCATCCTTTTCTGGGCCGATCATGACTAGTACGCTGGATTTGTCCAGCATTCCCTACACCACACTGCCTTTTGCAGTTGAACTCTCTTTAGACCACCATGTAGCAAATTGCACATAGCTGACACGATGCCTTCCCTAATGACCACAGTACTACATTGTTAGAGCATCTCACTACCGTTATCTAGAAAGCTCAGAAATAAGAGAGCCGTGATAGTCCGAACTCGACTACTAGCACCCCAGACACTTCAGTTCGAGTCGTGTATTGGAGCCCTTGACAAACATGTCTACTATTTGCGGTGTCGCTATGGCGGCTGCACTTTGGCCTGGGATTCCGGGGAAGTTATTTGCATCTGACCGTCGCAGACTACACTTTTGCATGTTACTGTAACGCGTACTTTGCACTGTCCATCGTCATGCAAGTTAAGCCTTGTTATCGTCACCAGGAGGCTTCATGGAGAGTAGTAGGAATTAGAGTCGCTCAAACCCGACTTCACTGCTCATCTTTGTTGTATTTATTGCTATGGTGGGCAGACTGGAGAGCAACGTTCTCTCCAAAAGAGACATCGTTTAAATCAAGATACTGGCTGACTGTGGCTTGATAGACCATCTATTCTACCGTTTGACGCGACATGCTGTCCTGGCCTTTTTCGGCGTAGCTATTGTATCGATTCATTCATTTGCAAATGTCTTAACTGTTTTTTTGCATCGATTGCTGCTCCACACTTCACATTCCGCAGTTACATGGTTGTTTTCCATTCCACCTACGTAGACAATCGCTCATGTAGTCGCGCACGCACATTAACAGTATGTTTGCCAGTTTGCACGATCTGTGCTGCCAACTAGGCCTCTGACTCAGTCCAAAGCTTTCGAGCTAGGTGTCACAGACATGCTCGGAAGGCCTGGCTCTTAGTCACTGCGTCTGCGAGGTATCTCGAATGTCAGCATCAACTCATTAACGAGACAGAGGCGCACTGACACGTATCAGTCAGCTCCATTAGAATTTCGTGACTTATTTCAATAGATAAATGAACAAATTCTCCGACTTTATGGCAGCTGTTCTCCGCTAGGAGATAACAATTACACACACGCACGAATTGCAATCGCTTTGACACTACATATCCTGCAGATCATCTTTACCAACTAAACTGTTTTAACGTATGAAATACACCGTAAAGTACCGGCACAATGCTGTACCAATAAAACATCTTTCCAAACAGAGCTCGTTGCTTTCGTTCACCTATTTGCTACTTTAGTTTCCTTATATTCTACCGCTTGAGGGCTAACACTGAATCTGCGTATTTGCTATACCATCACTGACTCTATGCGTTGATTGCTTCTACTTTTTCAGACTACATGGGCATCGTGAATGCTGAGTCGGAAGAACTCAGCAACAGCATCGATGCCGGAACTGCTCTTTCGATCGAATTGGCTAGCACAGCCGGATCCACCGCACCCATGTTATTGGCTGCTCGCAAACGACGTCATCAGCTCACTCTTGATTTGACCTCTAATGCGGGGTCTCGCGTCGGTCCGGGAGCTGTAAACCACTCAAAATCCCGCAAGCGACCGGCTCTGAACGCTTTCGGCGATTCGGAGGATGAAGCCGATGAAGAGGAGGATGATGATGACAGTGAAGACGAACGCGCTGCCGCTCTCCTCGGTGGTCTACTCGGCACGGGGGGTTCGGATCTAGCCCGATCGTCTTTTGCAGGTCCTTTGGATCTCTATCGGTTGCGTCAAATGCAGCGAGTGAAATGAGTTATGACTCACTGGTTCCAATACCTTTTCCACCTATTTTGTACAGCTCCCACTCACACGGTATGCCGTGTCCCTTGTTCACTTAAACATCTCTCCCATTCGTTTGGCGTTTTCGCTAACTAAGCTAAACCAGGCGGATAACGCGTTGAACACAGTGCGCTCCAGGCTTCTTCGCTGCACTATTGGTGTGCCTCGTCTTATTCACGTACCTTTGGAGCGCAAAATCACGATGCCTCTGGTAAAGTGACTACTACCTCAATGGACCCGTTGTTCTAGTGGCTGCGATCCATTGCGTAGCACTAGTGTTTGCCTTCAGTGTTTTACCCAAATTCGGAAACCCATTCGTTTCCACTTTGTAGGTTAACCACACCAACTGCTTCGATTAGTCCTCGACGTCGTTATCGGATACTTTGATCGGTGACAATCCGGAGTCGAACACCGCCTTGTGCGCGCTTCAAGTTACGAAAGGATGCTTCATTTTCTGGTGGTGGTAATCGCCACTACACTGAAGATACGAATCGAATACTCCACCATTCTCTGATTGTGATTTTAGATAGCCGGGGAACAGCATGTGGCCGGTTTTATTCACCGCACTCCTGTCACCACACCAGTACACAGGTATCAGCGGGGTGCAGCAATAACTCACCCTGGCAAACGTGAGCGTGTTCGGCCGTACCCAGGGCAGTGCTTAGGGTGCACTTTGCTACTTTAGCAAACGATACATTGCTTCACTCATCGTCTGGTGTCCCCGCGCATTTTGTGCCGAATGTAACAGTGTACGTGGCCACATAACGAATTGAGTGAAACCGTAGGCACAACAGATTTATCGATGCGCGGCTGAATGCTGGAATGGTGACGGTACTTTTCTACATCGGGTTGCTACACACACAGCTGTGGATATTTTTTTAAGTTGGCATTCCATCCACGGCGAGCACATCTTGAATTCGCTTACACTTGAGCTCGCTACTTTATCGCTTTTATTGTCCGACTCAGTCTGACACCTCTACTCAAACCGCTATAACCTCGAAAATTAATAGCCTGTACAAGTTCGTCCGAAATAGGCTGTACCGATACGAGATCGCAAGGATAACCACTAATCTTCGAACGAAAGGATTGATAGTTGGACACAAAGAATCAACTTCGTGCGCAACACCTGTTTCTCCACACTACCTTACTGGATAGGGCATCTAACCGTTGACCTTGACGTGGCAAGTGGCTTGCGTGCCCGCATGGTTCACTGATGTACATTAAGTGGCTCTTTTCAAGCACCACCAGAACCAAACATCCCAGATTAATCAACCGTATAGCTCACCATTATTTCTCCCTTGTGATAGGCTAGGGCAGGGGCCGCCTATCTTTTTCACAGGAAAAAAGGTATCAGCGGTACGCCGGTGTGCAATACCGACGCTTTGCTGCCGCGCAACCACCACCTGTTGCACGTGGGCCAAGGATACTGCGAGTGCCGCCGTGTCCCTACGCAGAATCGAACCCGCGCAGTCAGACTACAAGGCATGCTTTTTACCTTTATATATATATATATATATATATATATATATATATATATATATATATATATATATATATATATATATATATATAAAGTAAGGCTTTACGTTTTGCAGGCCATGGGAATCGAAAGCGGTTGATCGGCGTGCATGCAGCGAGGTGATCTCGAAGGCCGTTGCCGAGGTGCAAGAGAAAGCCCTCGTGCATGCAGAGAAGAATCGGCAAGTGCGGCAGTGACAGGCGCCGATGGGTTGTACTCCATCGACATCGAGCGCACGGTGCTGTAGCACATGCGGTCGCGAGTGCCTGAGTCAGGCAGACCTAGTGAACCATGAGCGAGGCCACTCGGGGTCAACACCGAAACGACGACGAGTCCTGCTGTGAGCGTAGGCGGAACCGGGCAGCGTTTGTAGGTACGCTGCATTCGATTTACTTACCGCGTGCTTGTATGCTGAGTCTCTTTATTTCAGCTGGTGGGTTTGCTATATTGTCCTAATGCTTTTTATCTCATAAATGTCTACCTGAACTATCTCCTATAAACTTGCACACGTTCCTTAAACTACTTTAGTTAGATTTGATAACATTTCGCGTTTGTGGCATTTTTTGAAAAAATATTTTTTGACGTCTTGAACTTATCGCGGATTTGTTCGTAATCAATTTATTTCATTTGCTCATTTATTGAAGAGTTATGACACCCTATCTGTATGCATTATTTCATTTATTTTATTTTTTTATGTCGTCGTTTCAAGTGATTGGCTGTTGTTTGATGTCCCCGGTGTGACTGCGCTTGATGTGCATGTTGACAAGGTGCCTACCTGTCTATTACCCACTACATCGCCATACTGGCTCTAGGAGACAGTTGGTCGTTGCTGGAGGGGACGGGGTGCACGGTCGTTGTGGCCATGCTAGGCTCGAAGAGTGATTCCATGCACTCAGTCTGGAGCGGACTACGGTCCAGCCACCGCCTTGTGTGCCTTTGACTCCCAAATACAGCGTGCTTGTGTTTGCCTGTGAAGGAGTGTGGGCCGCCTCCATTGATGAAACGTGACTCCCATCCACGTGCCTCCCGGTTTTATTCCTTCAGGTTTACACTGGATATGGGGTGTGTGGTTGGAGCTGTGGGTGGTGCAGCGCAAGCCACCCATGGTCCCTGTGTAGGCGCAGGCGTCCTGTAGCTGGCCACAGTGACAAGCAAATCCGAAACCGGTTACCGCAAAACGCTCGAGAAGCTTGAGAGACGCGTTTCCAAAAGGAGTCACATCAACAAAAATAGCTGAAACTGAATAACGGTACTCTTTACATCCACTTAGCAATACAAAAGTGCGTTAGCACCTACTATTTGCGCTTTCAGCACACTTTCTTATCAACCCGTTCAATGTAACCTGCAAATATGGCCTCATGCTGTTGATGTTTTATATGACATATCCAACAAGAGAGTTGACCAATTGAGGTTCGGAGATGTGAGGTGAACGGAAACAGTAGATTGCACGGATGAATGGGTTTCATGCGTGATAATTCACATCTGTGTTCCAACGATGTGAGGTCACTGGTAGTACGATATCACATGTAACAATCGTGGGCGGGTTCACGCTAATGTCCAAGTCGTGTAAGGTCACCGACAATACGACACGTAGTGTTAAGTGTAAATTGTATCATAGCGTCTTGTGTTCTGCACGCTTTATCACGCAAATTCAAGCGCATTCCGCTAGCCGGATCCGATCCACACGCCATAGTTTGGTCACCCCTGGGTTAGGGAAAAATTGATGGTCATCTTCCACCCAACATTCATCCGCGTACGTCAGCAGTTTATGGATTACATGCTCGACTTTATTTGCATAGCGTACGAGTTTTGCCATTTTCGTAGCTGGTGTCTGAGTGCTATGCTTTTGGGGTGACGGCGTAGTCGTTCACCACGCTTCGCGGCACTTCGGATTAGAGGAACTCACTGCTATTGCGGACGATGTGCTTGCTTTGTGCTTAACTTGAAGATATTTTGGGGATTGAATAATGATGATAGGGACCGTTCTGCCGTAAATACGGATTTTGCGGACACAGTTCTCATCAGGATTGTATACGATAAAGTTCCCGGCCCTCTGGTGTGGGTCAAAAATGTCTCCTAGCGTGTCCTAATGTGATGCAATAAAATTGCTCCACCTTTTCGCTCTTGTCCATTTTTGTTTTATTTTAGCCCGAAGGTTTTCCCATGCCGAATTTTACGATAATGAGGTATCACGATAAACTGTATGATACCAGCAAACGTAAGCGGTCTGTCTAATTTCCCCGCTACTGGTCTCAATCGGTTTCTGCGGGTGGTGAAAAGACCTCTTCCTTCAATGAACCCTACCAATAGCTGTCTAAGAGTTTTCGAAAATTTGACTGTTCTCACGCATTGGCCTTAGGACTCCATAGCCTAGATCCATTACTGAAATTAATTGGTCATCTAAATGCCTTCATGTTGGCATGCCAGCTCACCGACTCCCGCAACGTGCGTTGTTTGCGCGCCGGGGGTGTGGATGGAAGAAGAAGAGGGGTGGCCAAGCGATGACTTCGTCGAGAGGAATGAAGGCCCTCACTTCTGAGCTGGCCTCAGTTGGAACGTCTCAGCTCCCCGGTTGGGGTCCGAAAGACGATGAACACGTTTGGTTGGGCACACTTGCTGATATGGCTAGGAGCCGACCTCAGTGGCGTTCGTGCTGTGAGTTTCTTTGTCCCACCCCATCCCTCTTAGCCTCCCCCTCCAACCACGATCTCATTATTTAGCTTTATATGATTTCGCGTATTTTTTTTGATGCACAGTAGCCGGCTGGTAGCTTACCGGAACGATGCCCATCCGTTACCGGTGGCTCAGCCGGCTTGCACCAGTTGCATTTTTTTCTCCTTTTTTCTGTGTATTGCGGCACAGTAGCTGAGGTGTTCCCCACCTCTAGCTAACGTGTATGATGATGATGATGATGTTGGCTCCAATAAATGAGCGCGTATCTGCAGTCTGATATTAGGAGCTTGTTTCATACGTTGCTTACAGCCTCGAGCAACCGAAGCGGTTCATGCATATGTGTTGATGATGAGATTGTATATAAATCTGCTCTCTTACTGATCTACCTCGCGCCAATCCTATGGGCTGCAGGACACACGGGCTCACTATTCCATAGGTAATATGAGAAGGTTTTGCTACTAGTATTCTGGTTCTGAAGGAACAGCGTGAATCAGTAGTTTGTTCTCGTGTCTCTATTGACTCTGTCACCGGTGTGTTGTATTTTCAGCCAGCCCTCACACTGCTCGTTGGTAGGCCAACATGTTGCCAGTTGTTGCTTGAAACGCTTCGATTAATCAGAAATCTATAAGAGCTAGTAGCTTTACTTACTACCAGATATCAGAGCACACCGCTCAGCTAACAATAGAAACGCAATGCGCCATCATACCGGCTTCCATCAATCTGCGTGGGTGGCGTTGCAGGGGACATCACTGTTCATTGTTTGACCGTAGTGGTTGACTCT